ACTTTGGGAGGCCAAGGCAAGGGAATCATCTGAGGTCAGGAGTTCAAGACCAGCTTGACCAACATGGTGAAACCCCATCTCTACTAAATACAAGGCACATGCCTGTAATCCCAGCTACTTGGGAGGCTGAGGCAGGAGAATCACTTGAACCTGGGAGCTGGAGGTTGCAGTGAGCCAAGATTGCACCATTGCACTCCAGCCTGGGCAACAAGAGTGAAACTCCACCTCAAAACAAAACAAAGACAACAACAACAAAAAGAAATTAAACATGATAACACAGTCTGTTAAAACAGGTGTATATATTTTCCCAATGTCTACTGAGAGAATGTAATACTACCATATTCTTTTTATTATAAGGAAAAATAAATTTTGCTTCCCCAGAGTTAAAAGTACTTTAGCAGAAATGAACTCATTTAATTTCACTGACTCCCTGGGAAGAAATTTGGAGAACATATTAACTTCATGTTATAAATAAATATATTGTCCAGAGAGTTGAAGTGAAAGGACATAAGATTGTTCACCAAAATTGGTAGTTTTAAACTCTAATCCCCTCCAGATGAAGGCACATCTGTCTGCTGGATAACATATTGGACTTATAAGCACAGCCTAATATAAAATAATTTTTAGATTAAAAAAATCACATCAATATCTTTCAAAGTAGTTCTCCAATGAAACTATTCAGAAGAACAGATACACAAGAATAAAGAAAAGACATAAGAGGAAAAGTGGACAATTTCATGTTCGATTTCATGTATATTGTTTTTACTGAACCACAGGATTACACAGGACATCAGAGGGTAAAAATGGAATTATTCTTTTCTCATCTTTACATAATCTGGAATAGTAACTATTTTTTTTCCACAGAATAAATTTTAAATTACTGTAGAGAAAAAAATATAAAAGATGAGAACCATCACTGAAATTCCCACATAGTCCCCAGGAGGAGGTCCAAGCAATCTGGAAACCTCTCCTCAGAGAAGATTTGTACTGTTAATATGCTTAATCCATTCTAAACACCTTGTTCTAAGCAGAGAGACAAAAGAGATTGCTGTAAAATCTTCTACTCCCAAGAAGACAACAGCGGATTAGGTGACCAGAGAGACTACTTGGAAACTTCCATGCTTGTGGTGTTTCTGAGTCATGTCTTTAGTCAGGAATAAAGCTGATTTTCAATGATGTGGCTCATACTTCAGCAATGCTTAGCTTTAGACAGATAGGCCATATGGAAACTATGAACTGGCTTCATAGACAGGACCATGATGAGCCAATGCAATATTTTTATGTCTTCTGTTTCTATTCAAGTGGTCTAGTGAACAATGTATTATCATAAGACACAGTATAATATGTGTCTTTGTTTAAATTCTTAGTAATTATTTTTAATGCTATAGATGTTTCACATACAAAATTTTTTAAAAATAAAAAGTTTCATTTAACAAGAAATATTTGAAATATTTTGTATATAGAATATATTCTCCAGTTCTTCCCTCAAGGATCTGGCTTGTTTTAATGTATGAATAAAATCACCATTCAAAGGAAGGGAAAAAGTTATGAAAATCATAGATGTCAAAGATTTTCTTTCTGATAGGATCCAGTAATAATTAAAAACACTTCCCTAAAAGATCCTAATTAGCAAAATAAAAAAAGAGATACATTTTTCTTAGAACTAGAAGGCAAGAATGATCCACTAGACAATTAGTTTGGGGTATGTAGTGTTCATTCATGGCTTGAGGCTTTAATAGTTACTAGAAGAGTTCCAAATATTTCACTTCAAGATTTTTAAAATATAGCAAGTTTTAAATTCTGGATTAGGCTTAAAATTTAATGAGAAACTGTATTGAGTGAAGAAAAATTACAGTTGTTGGCACAATATTAAAATGAAAAAACTGAACAGCACTTATGTGATTACATGTTTTGTATTGGATGTGGGAGGGCTAAAGAATGGGTGAAATGAATATGTGGAAAAGACCTGCCCTGGTTCCTTAGAGGTATATGTACTATAATATGTACTCACTCAGCTTGTAAATCTTTGCAAAGTGATGAGGAAAAATGATCATATTTCATTATGATAATTAAAATATAGTGGTCTCAGATGCTTTTCTGAAGAAGTAAAAATATGAGACATAGATAATATGGGTACATTTTTTAAAAAGGAGAAGAATTTAAGGAACTATAATTTAAATGTTTTTTCAAGGAGATTTATTAAACTGCAATTACATTGTATGCTTAAGATTAGGAAAATGTAACAAAGTTTTTCCATATATCAAATGAACCTCATATTTTATAGATTATAATTCTCAGCTTCTGGCATTTTCTATTTCGATCAGAGAAAGTCTTACAGGAAACTAAAAAGCTGGTTCATCCCACTTTGCTATGATAAATATGGGGATGTCTCATATTTGTACTGTATTCACAGCAAGTCAGCAGAACTAGAGACTAAATCATATTTTTATTCTGCTGCAAGCATATAGATTTGAATATTTTAATGATCAAGAAGTGAATCTCTAAGATTACTTTTTAAACAATAAACACAGTCATATGAGATTCAGATCTAAAAGGAATGATCTTTTCTACATACTGTGTGTGTGTGTGTGTGTGTGTGTGTTTGTGTGTGTGTCTGTCTGTCTGTCTCACTCTGTCACCCAGGCTGTAGTTCAGTGACACAATCTCGGCTCACTGCAGGCTCAACCTTCCAGGCTCAAGTGATCCTTCAGCTTTAGCCTCCTAAATAGTTGGAACTACAGGTGCATGCCACCATGCCTGGCTAATTGTTCTTCTGCATTTTTTGTAGCAACAGTGTTTTGCCACATTGCCCAGATTGGTCTTGAACTCCTGGGCTCAAGTGATCTGCCTGCCTCGGCCTCTTAAAGTGCTGAGATTATAGGCATGCACCTAGCCTCATACTCATATTTCATCTTGCTTTAATATTTCTGCAAGACTTTTACCTATCCTTTCACTTTGGCTTGTAAAAATTATTTATTTCCATAAAAGAAATGTTTAGTAATTGAGATTAGAATTCTGTTCTGGCTCCAAGTCTTTTATTTTCTCTAACAGACTATATTTACTTTTACAAATTATCTGTCTTTGATAAAATCAGCTAAACAACCACCAAAACTTGTCTTATCTTGACACTGTATCTACTCTCTTCAAAGAAGAGCTTTTGAGTACAAGAAGGAAGCAGTTCTTGAAGGTACTTGTTCAGGGCCATGAGCTCCCATCAGGCACACCACAGACATGCCCAGTCTACCTCAGCTCAGAGAGCAGCAAAACATGGCCTACAAAATGGCATTTTCGATTGTCGCTTTTTTCTTTGTCTTTAAAACATACGTATTTTAAGATGCGCTTCTTTACTTATAAACATAATTAAGGTTTTATTAGAATTGGCACCTAAATATTGATACAGTATTTCTGTGATGTGAAAGAGACATGACCTAGTTGACTATTTCTTGTGTCTTTTTCATTTTGCTAATTGCTCCTAACAGTTCAATTGCCTCTCTAACAGACTTGTTCTTCCATGTCAAGATTCAAGTCACATGCCAATATTCTATGAAAAAAAAATTTTTTTACAACAAAATGGTTTTCCTTCCTTCAGAACAAGTATTGCTGCTTTAGAACAATGTCCCCACTGCATGTTTCCAGCTGGGGACTGCCAGCAAAATTTATTAGATGTTCTACACTACATTTTTTAAGGAACGACCTTTAAAATACCTCGCTTTTGGGATACAGCTATTTATGAACAACAAAATAAATGTGTATTGGCCAGGCGTGGTGGCTCAAGCCTGTAATCCCAGCACTTTGGGAGGCTGAGGCAGGTGGATCACGAGGTCAAGAGATTGAGCCCATCCTGGTCAACATGGTGAAACCCTGTCTCTACTAAAAATACAAAAACTTAGCTGGGCATGGTGGTGCGTGCCTGTAATCCCAGCTACTCAGGAGGCTGAGGCAGGAGAATTGCCTGAACCCAGGAGGTGGAGGTTGCGGTGAGCCGAGATCGCACCATTACACTACAGCCTGGGTAACAGGAGTGAAACTCCATCTCAAAAAAAAATAATAATAAATAAATAAATAAATAAAATTAAAAAAATAAAATAAATGTGTATTTTCATCATTTCAATAAAACATTATATATCTTTTTAGGGCCACATCAAATTATGAGTCCATATAGCATATATAGGCTAAGTATCAATAGCATACTTAAAATGCATGGCAAAATAAACATGTGCTTTTGAATGAGTCCTATTAGTTTTTACTACAAGGTTTAAATATTTAATTGACTGATACTATCACTATCTTACTTTGCCTGTTGAGACAGAATAAACTGGACACTTCTTAGTGGTGCATCAACTCTTTCAAGTCATTGGAAAGAAAGTGCTATTCTAGAAATATCTATAGACCAATAAAAGAACACTGCTGTCTACCCACAGGGATGCTACACACACTCAATGGATTTCCAAATACATGTAATTTACATTTTTCTTTTCTTTTTACTAGCAGTATAAATCTAAAGTCCATTTAAAATATGGTTATGAAACAATAAGACAATCCCAAGTTTAACAGACATATGTTAGTCAATTATCTTCTGCCTTTCTGCTTCTTTTGGTTGTCTTATTCATTTTGCAGGTGATCACTGGGATAAGAAAGCAACATTATCTTACAGCTTAATTCATACATTGGATGTAGAGGTAGATATCAAAAGTTATAGGCCTCTATGATATTTGCACATCTTTTCTGAATCACAAGAAAAACCACAAAGAAAGCAACATTATAAATAACGGCAAAAAAAAAAAATCACACACATTGAAAAGAGCAAAAAACAATTCTGGATATGACAGAGGAGTGATGACAAATGATATGAATGTTTTAAGACACTCTCTATATAGAACAGCATTATTCAACATGATGCAACAAAATTGGAAAAAAAAGAAACAATACATCATGAGACATAGAATCATCTGAAACAAGCAGTTATAGACATAAGCCACACACAGGATTTCTTTTCTTACTTGCACAAGTATCTCGAGGGGTTTGAAAGATCTTTCACCATGAAGCATTCGCCTCCATTCACACAGAACGTTTTCTCCTTCTCTGCACATTTTACAAGATGGCTTGTCCCAGTAGTAGATGTAGACGTAGCTGAAGAGGAGAGAAAGGAGAAAGGTTAACTTTGACTTTTTTTTCCCCCTTCTAAGCAGCCTTTAATCTTAAATCATCTGAAAAGGAAGAGTTCATATAACGTACAGGAGATTTCACTAAGCTTGCAGACCTTACAAACAATAGCAAAGAAGTTAAGCACTTTCTGGGTCTAATTACATGGAATCAAATTGCAAAAGAGAGAATTATTGAGTTAACTAACTTTATTAGAACTAAATAGGAAAAGGGGCTCAACTTTTTTTTCCCGTTTTTTTTTTTTTTTTTTTTTTTTTTTTTATGACAGAGTTCCACTCTGTTGCCAGGCTGGAGTGCAGTAGTGCCATCTCAGCTCACTGAAACCTCCGCCTCCCAGGTTCAAGCAATTCCCCTGCCTCAGCCTCCTGAGTAGCTGGGACTACAGGCGCGTACCACCACACCTGGCTAATTTTTATATTTTCGAAGAGATGAGGTTTCACAATTTTGGCCAGGATGGTCTGAATCTCCTGCCCACCTGCCTCAGCCTCCCAAAGTGCAGGGATTACAGGCATGAGCTACTGCACCTGGCCAGGGCTCAACATTTTTTAACCAATATATAATTTTCCAGGTAGTTGGAAAAGACAAGCTCTATTGTAATTAAAATACATTTCCCAGGAAGGTCCAAGATAATGGTATAAAGTCATGTCATTACAACAAAATTTAGACATCTATTCGTTAACAGCAACTAATTGATAAAATTATTTATTTTGAAATGTTTTATGTGCATATTGACTTCACATTTTTTTAGATATGATGTGTATATAAAAAAACGTAAGTTGGCTTATTTGTTCCCAATGAAAATATTATAGATTATTAGTCAGATACATATTAACATGCAGATTAGAAACCACTCTTTTCTACTTTAATTTCTTAGAGGAATATGGTTGAATGTCCAACTGCCATCATACTTTTCAGGAAATAGAAAGAATCTAATATCACTGTAAATGTAGACTAAAGCACTACAAAATATCTCCATTTTGAACGAGGGGTAGAAATAAGTTTCAATTTTGGTTTGCAACACCTTCATACAATGAACTTAATATTAACTTGTCAAACTTCACTTTACATGAAAGTGGGCACGTGAATTATACAAGGCCAAAGCTCTCAGCCCCAGGCTACCAGGGCATTTAGTACCAGGATGCTTCTCATATCATTGGGAACAGCATGGGCAATACTCAGTCCCAACTGAAAAGTATCTAATGTATACAATGTTTATCAATGATAGTATCAGGATGAAAAGCAAATCAATGTATGAAGGCAGTGCAGATTCTATACACACTTTTAAGGAAAAAATACCCAACTTTAGAGGCACTTTTTTTTCTTGTCTACTGATACATGCTTATGAATTTTTAATCTCTTGTCTGTCTTCCTTACTAATTTCCATTTTATTATTTCCATGTGAGTTTCATATACCCTTGTTTATTTTTACTTGACCTGCCATGTATTACTTTTCCATTTTCTTCTGCCTTTCCTGTTCATTTCCTTCGCAAGTCTACATTTTGTTGTGACACATAACCTAATTTTGTCTTCTCCCCTGTTTGATTTTTATTCTATCTGACTGGAATACTCAACATCTGATTATTCCATTTCTGAATTACTCATGGCCTTGCTTGCCTCTTATTCTCCTGTTTAAGGCATGTTTTTGGACCCCTTTCATTGGTCTCAGCATGGCTTTTTGGAATAACAGCAAAAGACACTCAAAACAATTTGGAATTTGGAGACAGACATGGTTCAAATCTTGTCCCCTACTGGTTTTGAATAAGTCACTTAACCACTCAGATGCTTAATATTCCCATTAAGAAAACAGGGGTAATGGCACTCTTACAGAATTTTGTAGAGATTATAAATAATCTAGATAAAGGAATTGGCAAAAAAAGCTGGCATTCAATGAATAATGGTAAATATTAATGGGCAAGTAGGGAAGACTCTTAATTTAGACATGTATCAATAAGAGAAAAAGCTTGACAATGGAAATCTGGGGACTTTGAAGATGTATGCTATTTATATATTTTTAAAAGGAGAAATTTAAGGAGATGCATGTTATTCTGGAATCATTACTATGATAAATAAGAATTAGACTAATTTTGTTATTACTCCAAAAAAAAAAGTTAGTTTCAAATTACATTTCAAGGCATCTTTTCCAGGCCTATGAACCAAACAAACTAAACAAAAGGAATAAGAAAGAATGAGGAGACAGGTGATTTTTACCATCAATTATCAGTCATACTTTAACATCTTCATCAAGAAGAGGGGAACATGATTTGCATTGTTTGGTCTGTAAAACCAGTGAATATACAACATTCCTAGATATCACACAGCATATAATTTTAACCTAATATTATCTCTTCATGTGAAAACCTACTTATTTAGGTGCTATGTATTAATATTTTCATCCACAGCAATTGCCTTTGAAAAATATTAGGAAGTTTGCCTTGAATGTTAAAGGGTTTGTGCTTAAAGGCTTTCAACCACTGACAGAATTCCACGGGATGACAAATGGAGCTGGGTATCCTTGCTGCCCCAGGTGACAGTGCTGAATGGGACACCTGCAGTGTGCTGTCACTGTGCAGTCCTGCAGAGGAACGCTGAACCTCAAGCAGACCCGAGTGGCCTTTGCATCTCTGACAGGTTGCTAAAGATTGCCCTTCATGCAACCTGAACAGCAAACACTGCTTGGGCTCTCTCAGGACAAATGCCAACACTTGCTAAAACAACAAAACCAACATTCCACCTCCCCCCAAAATGTAGACACTCCTTTTAAGATGTAAACAATAAAAAATAGCAGTGATATAAACAACAGATAGACATACCTCTTCCTTAGACATTCTGATCTTATGAGATTATAAAAATGAGATTAATACATATGTTAAAAACTAGAAACAACTTTTTTTATGGCCTTAAAAATATATCTCCCTGAAACAATTATCCTTATAATGCTATCCTGAAGCACTTAGCTCTGACATATTCATTTAAAAAAATCTTAGATCATTACCTGAAACTAGTAATGGGATATCTGATAGCAAAATGATTCTTGGAGGGAAATGAAGTAGCAAGTACCTCATACAGTCATGGATTATTATGCTTAGCACTTTTATCCTGTAGCAGCAGTGAGATCAAAAAATGATCATGAATTGTAAGGCGGCAAGGAGCTCCCAGGTGATGTGAAGTGTCAACTGACTGGATGCAGCTGCTCTGAACCAGCAGCCAAGCACAGGAATAAGTTGTAATTGTCAGAAGAACTCGGGTTGGAGATGGTGCTACATACACTCTTCAGATTTTTGCCAGGTTTCCTTTTGGTCTCCTTATTGGAACACAGTGCTCTGACAGTCTTACACGGGCTGATAAATTTTGCAGTGATAATTTTTCTCTGTGCCGTATACACTCAGTATTCCTAAATCAGTTTCCACTTGGTAATTCAACCAGAACATAATGAAACAGACAAAGCGGGTCCTATGCCAAACAGAGCAAACAGCATTCTCTCTGGGGGAGCTAGGAGGACTTGTATTAATGGTAAACTAAAGATTTGGAAGATAAAATATGTTTCAATATATAAAAGATGACACCCCTGCCCCATAGTTGTTCCAGGAAGGAGGTGAAGTAGATCTCACTCATTCAGTGCTTCCTATACCTTGTCTCCCTCTGATTTGTGATTAGTTTTTCACAATTTGGGAGTTATCTTCTAGTGACTGCTAAATGAACAGCAATTTGAAAAACACTACAAAATCTGACATTACTTTGATGTTTGCCATTTATATGACCACTTCATCCCAAACACACTTTCCTTGGTATGTCAGCAACTACAATATTATGAGGAAGAAAGTATAAGGAAAAGCAGTAACTTACTATTAGGTTGGTGCAAAAGTAATTAAATAAAAAAAATACATTCTCTGGTGTTAAAAGGAATGGTTTGGGCCATTCCTTTCAACACCAGAGAATGTATTTTCTAGCATTTTACTCTAGACCTGGTTTGCCTTGGCAAAAAAAGGTCAGGACAAATGATCATTGCTGGGGAATCTGGACAGTTCTCTGAAATAGCTGAGAACTTGGGGACTACTATCATCATTTCAGGGCTCCAAAAATCATTTACCACACAACAGGATTCCCTTCTTCTTTCACATCCTCCCTCTTTCTTCCATGCAGCCTTCCCCTCCCCACCTTCTTTCTTTTCTTCCTTCCTCTTTCCTCCTTCCTTCCTTCCTCATCTCCTTCCACAATTCTTTTCTTTTTGTTTTGTTTTATTTTGAGATGGAGTCTCACTCTTGTCGTTAGGCTGCAGTGCAGCAGCGCGATCTTGGCTCACTGCAACCTCCTCCTCCCAGGTTCAAGCAATTCTCTTGCCTCAGCCTCTCAAGCAGCTGAGAATACAGGCCCGCACTACCTGTAAAAAAATGCCTGGCTAATTTTTTTTTTTGGATATGTAGTAGAGACAGGGTTTTCCATGTTGACCAGGATGGTCTTGATCTCTTTACCTTGTGATCTGCCTGCTTCAGCCCCTCTAAGTGTTGGGATTACAGGTGTGAGTCACTGTGCTGGCCCGTAATTATTTAATGACTGTTTATTATGTTCAAGACATAAGGATAACAACCAAAATCACTGGGGTTGAAAACTGCAAGACCATAACCAACTCTCCCTAGAAGGAAACCTTCACAGATAAAATGTAGTGAAATGAACACTGAAGTTGTCTTGGAAGAATCAGGTCCAAGGCACAATTCTGCCAATTATTAGCTGTGGGACTTCTATCTACCTGCCTTCAAAAATTCAGCAGCAGAATGAGATACCAAAGGGTTGTTTCCAAGTTTATTAAAACACTTTGTCAGTTGCAACACTGCACACAAATGTATGATACTGTTACTATTACTAATCACATAAATATTGAACAAAAGAAAGTAAAAAAGGAAATTCTGTCCAGACTGAAATTTTACATACATAACCAGTCCTCAAGAGTTGTTTATCAGGAAATTATTCTT